TTTTCGGTTGACTGATGGGATGTTTGCAGTTGAAGGAGAGAGAAGGGTTGGAAGTTTCTTAAGTTTGAACAATATATGAAGTCTTTTTAAAGGAAAAAGCCTCCCTGCCTCTGTGTAACTAAAATGACCATATATATATACCCAGATATATGGCAAACCCCAAATGAAAGGCTATCCTCTATTTGTCTAATTTCAAGAGAGATTTGTTGCTGACATAAATATGTAAATTTCTGGAGATCTAAGTGCAATGATCAGATGTTTTTTGTAATTTTTTTTTTACTGATTTAACATTAAATCCTAATATTATGTATTCATGTTTTTTTCACTTGTATTTCATGAAATTTTTTTTTCATGTCTTACTATTACTTTTTTTTTTTTTTTTTTTTTTTTTTTTTTAAGTAAACTCAACCCCCATCCTGGGGCTTGAACTCATGACCCTGTGTTCAAGAGTCACATGCTCTACCTATTGAGCCATCCATGAACCCTTCATGAAATAATTTTTCACTGGCATCCTAGGTATATGTCTTTGTCAGCTATCTGACAAAGTTATATCTGCTGTATCATCTGACAGATTTTTGGAACATGTGATTTTCACCTTACATTGTTTGAGGTTGAGCACTTTTAAAATTTGTATGTAATTCTCTCACTGGAAATTTAATCTTAACACATATCTTAAGTACCCATTTGCTCTTTGTGATTTGCACAGTGTAACCATATTGCTTTATAAATGAAAGTTAAAGCATAAACATATGCACACAGTATAAAATTCAGAGGATATGGAAGCATTGTTTTGGCTGAAGCCTGACCTTTTTTTCTCTGGTGTATTAACTGGTGAGCTGAAGTACTGTGAGATAGTTCTAAGTCAGTTTATTAGACATTGATCTTATGGAAGCAAACACAATGCTAAGTGCTGGGGATACCAAGAGAGAAGCCAGTCCCTGTGTGGAAGAAGCTTCTACTCTTTCTGAGGAGCCAGAAAGTAAACCAGTAAAGGAATACTCTGAGGCTTAGTAGTATATTCATGTACATACATAATAGAAGAGTGTCATAGAGATGGGAGTGGGGAGGTAGTGTAAAGAATGCTTAACACACAAATTGGCAAAGTAACATTTAGGGTAATTCTTGAACATGGATGAACTAGATGAAGGTGAGATGAGGAGGATAAGGACATTCCAAGCATGTAATTCAGTATGACTGTACTGAATTGTGTAGGATAGGGAAGAGGAGAGGCAAAACCAGAGAGATGAGCTGAGGTTTGATCAGAATGGACTTGCCAGATCATGAGGGCTTTGGAATTTATACTGTATACTGTGGTGTCAGAGAGCCATTAAAGAGTTTTAAATGGGTGTGTGTGTGAGAGAAAGAGGGGAGGTGGGGATGAGGGAGAGGGAGAGGAAGAATAAGAATCAGACTTGTATTTTGGAGCATAACCTCAGCAGCAAGGTGGAAGATAAGATGATGATCAATTAGGAGTCTATTGTAGTAATCCAGGTAAGAAATGTTATGGGCTTGATTTAAAGCCTTAGAAAGAAGAGTGAAGAAGAGAAAACAAATGAAGGATATTAAGTAGAGTCAGTACTTCTATTGCCGGGCAGTAGGGGTAAACTAGAGAGATAACATGAATAACCCTCTTGCTGAGAAAAATCCTAAATGAAATGAGTATTTAAATTTTTTTTTTCAAAATACGTCATTGGGTTGGTGAGAAAATAAGGAATACTCTGAGGCTACAAATGAAATGAAATTGGGAATGCAGATGTTAGCTAGATTTAAAGCAAACCTTCACCCTAGTGGAATCTGCCCAAATTGAATGGCTTTAAACTTCTCTTTTGATAGCCTCATAGGCCACAGGAAATGGGAAACAAAGCCTGTGACCTTCCTAAGGAAAGGAGTCTGAAAGGAGACCCTTCCCCTTAATGAAGCTGAGACTTTGTTTCAACCTTGGCAGTTGGAGAGTGGCAGGAGATATTGTCACTGAGAATTTATAATAAGGGTCTTTTATAGGGTCACGTTTTCCATGTGGTCTTACCCAACTTAAGAATATATTTAGGGGCACCCGGGTGGCTCAGTCAAACATCTGATTTCAGCTCAGGTCATGATCTCACCATTTGTGGGTTCAAGCCCCGTGTCGGGCTCTGTGCTGACAGCTCAGAACCTGAAGCCTGCTTCTGTTTCTGTGTCTCCCTCTCTCTCTGCCCCTCCCTGCTCATGCTGTCTCGCTCTCAAAAATAATAAACAGGGGCGCCTGGGTGGCATGATGGGATGTGATCCGACTTCAGCCAGGTCACCCGATCTCGCCGGTCCGTGAGGACCGAGCCCGCGTCGGGAGCTCTGGGCTGATAGCTCGACCTGGAGCTATTTCAAATTCTGTGTCTCCCTCTGTCTCTGCCCCTCGCCCGTTCATGCTCTGTCTCTCTCTGTCCCAAAAATAAATAAATGTTGAAAAAAAAAATAAACATTAACAAAAAATAAAAAGAATGTAGTTAAAGGGGCAATGCACCCCAATGTTTATAGCAGCACTATCAACAATACCAAAGTATGGAAAGAGCCCAAATGTCCATCAACTGATGAATGGATAAAGAAGATGTGATACACACACACACACACACACACACACACACACACACACACACCATGGAATATTACTCAGCAATGAAAAAGAATGAAATCTTGCCATTTGTAGCAACGTGGATGAAACTGGAGAGTATTACACTAAGTGAAATAAGTCAGTCGGAGAAAGTTACATGATTTCACTCACATGTGGAATTTGAGAAACTTAACAGATGACTATAGAGGAAGGGAAGGAAAAATAAGATACAGAGAGGGAAGCAAACCTTAAGAGGCTCTTAAATATAGAGAACAAACTGAGGGTTGATGGGGGTGGGGAAAATGGGTGATGGGCATTGAGGAGCGCACTTGTTGGGATGAGCATTGGGTGTGTATGTAAGTGATGAATCATGGGACTCTACTTCTGAAGCCAAGACTACACTGTGTGTTAGCTAACTTGACAATAAAAAAACAAAACAAAACAAAAAAACTCACTATCAAATCACATCCTCTTAGGAGGAATTTATCTTCAACTACTACTTTAAAAATCCAAGGCACAAGAGATCACAGGGAAAAAAAACACAGAATGCACAAAAACCATGGCACAAGACAAGAACCACCAGAAACAAACAAGAACCAGCCGAAATGAGATGATGACCTCTATAGACTGCAGAAAGTTTGTTTTTTCTTAGTAATTCCAATAAGTTTGATCAATATGTTTGAAGAAATAAAAAGATTGAAATGTGAATATGAAGGGTCTCTGAAACATGGTAAGGCATATTAGGAAAAAAAACAAAAACAGAACTCTAATTATAAAAAAGTAACTGAAATTAAAAAAAAAAAACAAAAACCAGACTCACACACCATAGAGTGAAGAGTTCTAACATATATCTTATTGGAGTTTCAGAAAGAAGTAAGTGTGAATGAAGGAGTATGGTAATTGTTAAATAGAAATAGCTGAGAATTTTTCAGAATTGATCAAAGATAACATTTCTTACATGGTAGAAGTGCAGTGAATCCCAAGGAGAAAAACAAAATCAGCCATGACAGACCAGAATGAAACTGCAGAAAACCAAAGACAGAAAAAAATCTTAAAAGCAACTAGAGAGGAACAACAGATTGCCATAAAAATGATTTTCTCTGGTCTAGCAACTGATTTCCCAGCAGCAACAACAGAAGCCGGAGGACATTGGAATGCTGTCTTTACTGAGAGAAAATAGCTATCAGCCTGAAAATAGAATATCCAAATAGAACTGTCTTTTAGGAATGACAGCAAAATAAAGATGTTTTCAGACCCAACACACACATACACACCCCCCAGAAGGAAATTATAAGGGACATGATTCTGGTAGAAGGAAAGTCATCCCAGATGGAAAACGTGAGATGCCTTTTTTTTTTTTTAATGTTTTTTTAATTTGAGAGAGAGAACAGAGGAGGTGCAGAGACAGAGAGGGAGAATCCTAAGCAGGCAACATGCTGTCAGCCCACAGCACAATGCAGGGCTTGATCTCATGAACTGTGAGATAAGGACCTGAGCCTAAATCAAGAGTCAGATGCTTAACCAACTGAGAAACCTAGTTACCCCCTGAGATGCTTTTTAATGGTCACGAAATGTTCCAGCAAATAAATTCTACAATTTAGACTCTAGTACTATTGTATATTTGTGTTTCCAAGTTTTCAATACTGAAACAATACTAGACATGTATATGGACGTGTTTATACATGTAGTATTTGATGTGGAATAAATAAAAGAATAGGTATTTTTTTTACTAGAAAGCCCAAATTACTGGGTCAAAAAGGAAGGAGTACTTTTTGGTACATGTTGTAAAATTGTGTAAAAATTTTTGTAAAGGGCTTTACCAGTTTATATCGCATCTAAGAGACTATGCTGGCTTTACTTTTACCAATAAATAAATGTGTGATAGGGCCAGTTTTAAATGATGAAGATTGACATTTCTTACCAGATTTTGACTTGGTTATATTATTGACAAAAATGTCCCATCTCACTTCTCTCCGTTGTTACTAAAAAAATGTTTTCTTTTTAATGGAAACAGAAATGCTAACTGACTGAAATGCGTTCTAACAAAATATTTCTCATTTTCTAGAATGTAGTCTTTCATTTTTCTTTCTTTTTTTTTTTCAGTTTATTAATAAATATGTAGTTGGTCCATTTAAAGACATGCTTTATTTAGTGTGGTTTTATTGTAAAGGAAGACCACTATTTTAATGCTGTTAGTTTCTTTTCTAGCTTTGTATATTTACTAATCAGCCAACATTGTAGAAGTAAACAAGGTGGGTTTTTTTGTTTGTTTATTTGGTTTTTTTTAAGTCATTCATTCTAAAAGGGAAAAAGTACTGTTAGTTTGCTTGGGAATTCTGTATTCTAACGTGAACTGAATATAATAAGAAGGTGTCTTTCTTTTTTTAACTTTTTCCCTCTCTTTTTGCTATTTCAGGTGCAAGTGAAAGTGTAGGGAAACATATGCTCGAAGCCTGCAACAATAATCTGGAGATGGCAGTTACTATGTTTTTGGATGGTGGAGGAATTGCTGAAGAGCCCAGTACCAGTTCAGCAAGTGTCTCCACAGTCAGACCTCACACAGAGTATGAATTTATTATTTATTGTTAGGAGCTACCCCTTGCCTAAATTGCGCAGTTGCATTTTTATCAGTTAGGTTAATTCTGTGGTTTTGAAAAAATTAAAAGTTGAAAGCATCTGAAAAAGTGTCATGTGGAAATTTTTATACTTATATACCTTAAATTCTCTAGAGCACAGTCATGTCTATTATTTAATCTTCAAAATAACCCTATAGGATGTCATTATTTATTTATTTTATTATTATTTTTTTAACATTTATTCAACTTTGAGAGACAGAGACAGAGCGTGAGTGGGGGAGGGGCAGAGAGAGAGGCAGACACAGAATCTGAAGCAGGCTCCAGGATCTGAGCTCTCAGTACAGAGCCCGATGCGGGGCCCAAACCCACAGACTGCGGGATGATGACCTGAGCCGAAGTTGGACGCTCAACCAGCTGAGCCACCCAGGCACCCCCGTAATCTTCAAAAGAACCCTATAGGATGACATTATTATCCACATTTTACAGATGAGAAAGCAGAGGCATAGCCAATTTCCTAAGCTACACAGTAATTACTTCGCAGATATGGATGGAACTAAAGCCCACTACAGCTCAGATTTCCCAATTCTACATTTACTTATTACATTGTTCCAGGAGAGTTTTGCATTGCCATGAAAATTTTTTGAAAAATAATTACAATCCTTTATACCTTAAAGATAGTTACATGTGGTTAATCATTAGAAGCACCTTTTTTTTTTTTTTAACGTTTATTTATTTTTGAGACAGAGACAGAGCATGAACGGGGGAGGGGCAGAGAGAGAGGGAGACACAGAATCGGAAGCAGGCTCCAGGCTCCGAGCCATCAGCCCAGAGCGTGACGCGGGGCTCGAACTCATGCACCGCGAGATCGTGACCTGAGTCGAAGTCAGACGCTTAACCAACTGAGCCACCCAGGCGCCCCAAATTAGAAGCACCTTTAACATATGGAACTGTAGTCTGTAGAGACTGAGAATTAATGGTGAACAGATTTGGATGTTTTTTGCCCTTTACATTTGATACCAATGAGCATTTGAAATGAATACCTTATAGGCAAAATTCCAAGTCTTTGGAAGATACTAGGGATGAATGCTACTCAAGGAAAACCATTGATTTTTGAAACAAAATTATGCAGATCCTTAAATAAGACTTTAATACTTAGATTTCTTTTATAACTCTTGGTGTTTACAACATGAGATACTAGACAAGAGGAATTCTCTAGGGATTCCTAGAGGGAATTCCCAAGGGAATAGACTAAAGACATGGATGGATACTATTTTTAAATTAGAGATAGATTTAAAAATCTAAATAACATTCAAGACAGAGTTGCCTCTAGCTCCAGATTCTAGAGTAATAATTGTTTCCACATGAAGAGTGAACTTTAGGGATCATTATTAATACTTAATAAAGTTTTTTCCTAGCAGTGTTGGCCATGAATTTCAGATGTTGATATCCCATTCTCCCCCAACATAGCTCAAATTTTTCATGGAAATCAATATGAAAACATGATTAGTTTACAGAAACTTGAGTAACAGGTATTCACAGCTCATTTGGGGGAATATAACTTCTCATTATACAAAACATGTTTTCTTAAATGTGTTTAAAAATAGTTTTGATATGGGGCACTTGGCTGGCTCAGTCAATAGAGCATGCAGCTCTTGATCTCAAGGCCATGAGTTCAAGCCCCACAGTGGGCATGGAGCCTACCTAAAAAAAATTAATTTATTAATTAAAAATAAAAATAAAACTAGTTTTGATAGATGAATGTCTTTTCCTACTGAATTACATTATAATTTGACTTAGATTATTTATTGATAATTGATTAACACTTGATAATGGCTTCTAATTCCTAAACTATAATTTTCACTCTTTACAGTTTACCTTTTTCTGTTCCATTCTTTCATTTTGTTAGGTAGCTAACAATCTTGGAACAGATACCCTCAAACATGTAGTAACCAAGTTTTCTTGTATAGGGACTACTACTTAATCCATCCCCTAATTGATGTATTTCATCAGATTTAAGGTTTGTTTTCTGAGTAATTAATTGTTTTCTCTCTTAGATTGAGATAATTTTATTTATGCTGTAAAATGATAGCAATCATGGAAAGATTTATTTAGGTAAAAGAGGTCTTCTAAATTCTTAATTTTCTTAAGATAATAGATTAATTCTCTTTGATGAAAGAGGGTTAATAGAACTTCCTCTTCCTCTTATAGATGCATTGTCTATTACTTCAGATGATTTAAATTTTTTGTGTGAGCAGTGACTAATACACGTAACATAATTTTGAATTGCCCTTTATCCATCATTTGGCTTATTGTATTTGTCCAGCCAGTTGTTCTTTTTGTTGTTGTTGGATGTTTTTGTTGACAAATGAGTATTCATAGTTTATTTCATAAAGTATGTTTTAGAGTTCCAGTTCTTTGATATCAAAAGCAGGGCCTTAAGCTCAGTTACTTCTATTAGAAACACCTGAATGAAAAACATAGGCCTAACTTAAATTAACATCGTAAACAGGACAATAATAAATTGGGAATTCACTTTTCCTTGCTGTGAAAATAATAAGTAGAGATTAATATTTGAGTTTAGGGGCGCCTGGGTGGCTCAGTCAGTTGAGCATCCGACTTCGGCTCAGGTCACGATCTCACTGTCAGTTCGAGCCCCGCGTTGGGCTCTGTGCTGACAGCTCAGAGCCTAGAGCCTGTTTCAGATTCTGTGCCTCCCTCTCTCTCTGCCCTTCACCCATTCATGCTGGCTCTCTGTCTCTCTCTGTCTCTCTCTCTCTGTCAAGAATAAATAAACATTAAAAAAAATTTAAAAAAATTGAGTTTAAACTATAAAATAGTTAAATATATTTAAAGGAGTATACACCATTTTTACGGTATTTCTAAATGAGTAGTTTTTACTGGAAGAGATAGGTTATTAGTAAATTCTTTGGAGATAAACGTTGAAGAGTTTATAGGCCTTTAAAAGATTAATAATTTTTCTGTGCTCTATGTATTGGAGTCTACTTAATAAATAATTCAAGGTAATACCTATGTTAACCATCTTTATAGCTAGCATAAAATTCACTGCTTGTTTATATAGCTTATTTTAATATATTTGTGTGATGTATTGTTTGATGCAGTAGTAATGTAATACTGCTTTTATTATGCCTATATTTTTCCATTAGTTTAAAAAAAAATGTTTATTTATTTTGAGAGCATGTGTGTTCAATTGGGCAGGGGAAGGGCAGAGAGAGGAGGGGAGAAAGAATCCCAAGCAGGCTCTGTGCTGTCAGTGCAGAGCCCAGTGTGGGCTTGGTGTCATGAACCATGAGATCATTACCTGAGCTAAAATCAAGAGTTGTATGCTTAATCAACTCAGCCACCCAGGTGCCCCTCCATTAATTTTTTTGTCTGATTTTCTGTTTTGTTTTTGGTAAACTCCCTTTTTTTTTTCTGAAAAGAATCTAGGGTAAAGACCTTGGGAGGAAAGGGGAAAATTTTTTTTTTCTGTTCTCTTCTTTTTTATTTTTACATTTATTTTTTAAGTTTATTATTTATTTTTGAGGGGGGGGAGGGAGAGAGAGAGGGCGCATGACCGAGAGAGGGGGCAGAGAGAGAGGGAGAGAGAGAATCCCGAGTAGGCCCTGCGCTGCCAGCACAGAGCCCGATGCGGGGCTCAAACTCACAAATCGTGAGATCGTGACCTGAGCCAAAATCAAGAGTCAGACACTTAACTGACTGAGCCACCCGGATACCCTTGTTCTCTTTTTTTAGAAATCATTTGAGCCATCTATGCCAGGTACTTTATTCTAGTTGACCTCTGTATGGAAACCATCTAGCAGTCATTTAACACCATGGTTCCTAAAAGTCACTAAGTTTGATGTTCATGTTACTTGTTAATTTGAATGCATTCACAATAGTTATAGAGAGAACATGTAGCAGAAAACAGTTTTCCTTTTGATATTTTCCTACTTCTTTTAATAGAGAAGAAGTTCGTGCCCCAATTCCTCAAAAACAGGAAATATTGGTGGAACCAGAACCTTTGTTTGGTGGTAAGTTCACCTTTTTTCCCTTAGTTTTGTTGGACTCTGTTGTTATCTTTAGAGTTTTAATAAAGCTATCAAAAGATATGAAGGCTTACTCAGAGATTATTACTTCAAGTGTAGAGTCAATTCTTATCTTATAATTCTGTACTCCCTCCAGGAAAATTGCATAGTTGTCTCCAAGGAGAGAACCAGATTAAAAAGTTGATATTTGTTGTGGAAGGCCAAAAAGAGGAAAATTAGCAAAAAGAACTACTACCTTGTAATGGAACAAATCTATCATTTAAAGACTCCGAGTATTTTGTGTTTTGGGGGGCACTTACTTGACTGCCATATCCATCTTTACTCTTTCTTAATTTCCAGAAGCACTTTTTCTGTTTTGAAAGGAGAAAGTAATACCTTATCCATGCAGAAAATTGTGATATCAATCTGGGTGCATATAGAGACTATAGAAAATGGTACATTTAATTAGAATTAAAGAAAATTTATAGTTTTAGATTAATAAACACTTACCTTTTGCATGCCAAATATTTTAGGCATTAATAGGTATATTAAAAAATAGGAAACAAAGTTATAATCTGGGCAGGCAAAGTCATAGAAATGTATATTGTACATATTGAGAACAGTGATGCAGAGAAATACACCTATATAAAGTTTTGTAGGTAAACTAGCATAAAGGAGAAGAAATAAATAAGAAAAGGATGAACAAAATGATATAAACCATATGTTTTGATTTGAAAAAACACCTTAGTTGGAGTTTTTTTTAAAGCAATCTTTGACTTGGCAGCTTTGGAGTTTACTGTAGTAAGAAATAACAGAATGTACTGTCTAGATTCAGAAATAAAGATGGGAGGAAGAAAACTGTAAGAACTGAATATTGAAGTATAATATGGGCTTTCTGGACTTTGATTCAGCCAGTCATTGTGCTGTTAATATACCAGAAGTAATAAAATATTGTTCATGATTTTTTTTCATATAAATGTTATGAATGGATTTTGGAAATGAGGGGGTGATGCCCTTGGAAGCTTTATCGTTTCTTTATTGCCAGGAATAAGGCAGGATTTCTGAGTGGGGTAGACTACAGGAAATAAATTTCTGTGCTGTTTTACCATTGTAGAGAGGCCAAAGAGTTCCCATTTGGAACCATTTCCTTCTTTTCCCTCAGGTTTGATACACAGCAAACAGGGGGATGAGAATGACTATATAGTTAGGAAGTTAGTCCTAACTTTCATATTAGACCATATTAACTTGATAAAGGTCTTTGGAGTACTGTTTTCTTCTTATGACAGTATTGATTTCAAGCGTGGTCTGGGTGTGTGTGAGGTCAAAATTATTTTCATAAGTTATTTGCCTTTTTTACATTATTGACATTTGGACTGATGGTTCAAAAGCAATGATGAATCAAACTGCTACATCTTAATTGAAACAGGACAGTGGCACCAAACTGTAAAGTCTTCACTGCTATATACTCACAATAAAAATTAAAAAGAACTCCTATTTTATTTAATAATAAATAAAGCAGTACTGCTTGATGAAGCAGTATAAATTAATTTCATTAAATCTTGACCCCTAAGTATACATTTTTTAAACCATTCTGTTTTATGAAATAGGGTATGCATAAAGCACTTCTGCATACTGAAAAGTACTGTGATTACTTTAAGGAAAAGCACTTGTACGGTTGTTTGAGTTGTGAGCTAAACTAGCTGCTTCTGTCATGGAACATTATTTTTACTTGAAAAATTCCTGACAAACTATGGTGATTTAGACTTCGGCATTTGGCAGACATTTTCTTGAATGTGAATAAAAGCCTATTACTGCTTTAAGACAAACAACTGACATTATTTGTTACCAGTTATTTAAAAAAAAAAAAAAAAAAAAGAGCTTTCAGGCAGAAATTAGGATTTTAGCAAGTTGATATCCATAATTATGAGCTTGATACCTTCCCAATACTTAAAAGCTTTCTGATAAGATTAGTGGTGGCCCTAACAGATGGTGATTTTTAAATTATTATTGTATAATGAAATGCTTGGTGTTTGGAATGTTTGCATAACTCAGTAAACAAATGTTTTCTTTTTCTTTTTCTTTTTCTGGTGCAAAAAGGATGGTTTTAATAAAGCACAGGGACAGGACCCATGGGCAGAAAGAGCTGTGACGAATATATTCAAATGACCAGTATACCATATTACAAAATTGTGCATGGGTAAAAGATCTATTCAGACAGTAAGATGGATTGCATAAAAGTTATCTATTGATGTATAACAAATTGCTCCAAAATTTAGCTTCCTGAAACAACAAACATTTGTTATCTCACAGTTTCTATGGTCCAGGAATCCAAAAGTGACTTAGCTGGGTGTCTTTGGTTAGACTTTCTCACAGGGTGTAATCAAGGTGTCAGCCAGAGCTATAATCATCTCAAAGCTTGAATAGAGGAGGATCTCCTAAGCTTACTCATGTGGCTGTTGGTTGGCTGGAGACATCAGTTCCTTACCACAGAGCAAATGAGAGAGCAATAAAAGGCAGCCCATTATAGAAGCCACCATCTTTTTGTAATCTAATCTTAGAAGTGACCTCCCATCACGTCACCTCTTTCACATTCTATTTCATCCTGCCCATATTCAAGATATTCACACACAGGTTATGAATATCGAAGATTGGGAAAATTGGAGGCCATCCTAGAGACTGCTTACCACATAGACCAGTGGATTTTATTGGAACAGATAATGAAAAGTTCATTGATAAGATTTTAGATTCCATGCTGCAACTAACCTTTAAGAAGCTACCACTAGTTGAGTATCAAAGGAGAATATTCACAATGATCTTAAAACACTATTAAAATACTCCTCCCCTTAAAACTATGTATCTGTGTTAGGTTGAATTTTATTTTTTTTCATTTATTTGAACTTTGAAAATAACAACAGATAGAATGCAGAAGTGGATCTGAAAATCCAGATATCTTCTCTTAAGTCAGTTATTAATAAGGATTTGTGAAATGTGTGCAGTGCCACTCTTCTTACTAAATATTTATTCTCTACCTGTCCCACTCCCCTATTCTATGAAGCTCCTCTTGAATCTTTTATTAGCTTTTTATAGCTTAGCCTCTTTGACCTCAGTGACCAGCACTCCTGGTATGTGGGCAGTAGAGTGAGAATACAAAGGACTGATGTTTGCTGTATAGCAGATGGTTTGGAAGAGTCAGGAAACCACATATGGAAGAGGCAAGTGGGAGTATGGGCATGCCTTTTTTATTGTGCTTTGCAGATACTGTCTTTTTTTTTTTTTTTTTTAATAAATGAATGGTTTGTGGTAACCCTGTGTTGAACAAGTCTATCAGTGCCATTTTACCAATAGCATTTGCTCACTTTGTGTGTCTGTGTTATATATTGGTAATTCTTGCAATATTTCAAACATTTTCATTGTTATATTTGTCATGGTGATCTTTGTACTATTGTAATTGTTTTGGGGCACCACAAACCATACCCTTATGAGTTGGTGGACTTGGTTGATACAATGATTCACCAACCAGCCATTCCCTTGTCTCTCCCTCTTCTTGGGCCTTTCTATTCCCTGAAACACAGCAATATTGGAATTAGGCCAATTAATAACCCTACAATGTCCTCTAAGTGTTCAAGTGAAAGGAAAAGTCATATATCTCTTACTTTAAATCAGAAGTCAGAAATGATTAAGCTGTGTGAGGAAGGCATAGTGAAAGCTGAGATAGGCCGAAAGCTAGGCCTCCTGTTCCAATTAGCCTAGTTGCGAATGGAAAGGAAAAAAAAAATTTTTTTAAGTTTGTTTATTTCTTTTGAGAGAGATCGTGTGTGGGGGGTGGTGGGGCAGGGGGCAGAGAGAGAGGGAGAGAGAGAATCCCAAGAGAGAATCCCAAGAGGCTCCACGCTGTCAATTCAGAGCCAGATGCAGGGCTCAAACTTACAAACAGATCATGACCTGAGCTGAAATCAAGAGTCAGAACCTTAACCAAGTGAGCCACCCAGGCACCCTGCAATGGAAAAAATTTTGAAAGAAATGAGAAGTGCTACTCCATTGAACACAAATTATACAAAAGGGAAATAACTTATTGCTGATATGGAGAAAGTTTTAGTGTCAGGATCAAAGATCAAATGAGCTACAACATTCCCTTAAGCCAAAGTGTAATCCAGAGCAAGCCCTAACTCTACAGTTCTATGAAGGCCGAGAGGTGAAGAAGCTACAGAAGAAAAATATGAAGCTAGCGGAGGTTGGTTCATGACGTTTAAGGGAAAAACCCATCTCCATAACATAAAAATGCAAAGGGAAACAGCAAGTGCTGATGTTGAAGCTATAGCAAGTTATCCAGAAGATCTAGTTTGGATAATTAGTGAAAGTGGCTACACTAAGCAACAGGTTTTCAGTGTTGACAAAACAGCCTTCTGTTGGAAGAAGATGCTATCTAGGGCTTCCATAGCTAGAGAGGAGAAGTCAGTGCTTCAGATCTCCAAAGGAGAGTCTGGCTCTGTTGTTTGGGGCTATTGTAGCTGGTGACTTGTTGAAACCAGTGCCCCTTTACCATTCTGAAAATCCTAAGGCCCTTAAGCATTATGCTAAATCTGCTCTGCCTGAGCTCTGTAAATGGAACAACAAAGCCTAGATGACAGCACATCTGTTTGCAACGTGGTTTACCAAATATTTAACCGCACTGTTGAGACCTGCTCAGAAGAAAAGATTCTTTTCAAAATATGACTGCTCAGTGACAACACACCTGGTCATCTAAGAGCTCTGATGGTAATGTCCAATAAGATTAATGTTGTCTTCTTGCTTGCTAACACACATCCATTCTGCGGCCCATGGATTAAGGAGCGATTTTTACTTTCAAGTCTTACTATTAAAAAAATGAATCCCATAAGGCCATAGACAGTGATTCTTCTGATAGATCTGGGCAATGTAAATTGAAAACCTCGTAGGAAGGATTTACCATTCTAGATGCCATTAAGAACATTCATGATTCATAGAAAGTGGCCACAATAATATTAACAAGAATTTGGAAGCAGTAATTCCAACCCCTCGTGGATGACTTTGGGACTTCAAGACTTGAGTGGAGGAAGTAACTGGGGATGCGGTAGAAATAGCAAGAGAACTAGAATTAGAAGTAGAGCCTGAAGATGTAACTGAATTGCTGCAATCTCTTGATAAAACTTGAATGGATGAGGAGTTGCTTCTTAGGGATAAGCAAAGGAAATGGTTTCTTGAGATGGAAGCTACTCCTGGTGAAGATGCTGTGAAGATTATTGAGATGATAACAAAGGATTTAGGATATTACATAAACTTAGTTGATAAAGCAGTAGCAGGGTTTGAGAGGATTGACTCCAGTTCTTAAAAATTTATTTATTTATTTAAAGAATCTCTGCACCCAATGTGGAGTTCAAATGCACAACCTCAATCAGGATCAAGAGTTGCACACTCCACTGACTGAGCCAGCCAGGCGCCCCTTGATTGAGTCCCAATTTTGAAAGAAGTTCATCTCAAATGTTGTCAAACAAAATTGTATGCTGCAGAGAAATCATTTGTGAAAATAAGAGTCAATTTATGCAGCAGACTTTATTATCTTAAGAAGTTGCCACAGCCACCCCAACTTCAGCAACCACTGTAATCACTCACAGCCATCAACATAGATTCAAGACCCTTCACTAGCAAAAAAAAAATTACAACTTGCTGTAAGCTCCAACAATGGTTAACAGTTTTTAGCAATACATTTTTTAAAATTTTATTTTAGAGAGGGTGCCATTGGGGTAGAGGGGCAGAGGGAAAGAGAGAGAATCCTAAGCAGTCTCCATGCCTAGCACAGAGCCCAATGTAGGGCTAGATCCCATGGCCCTGGGACCGTGACCTGAGCTGAAATCAAGAGTTGAACACCCAACTGACTGAGTCACCCAGGTGCCCCAACAAGAAAAATGTTTTAAATTAATGTGTACATTTTTAAACACATAGTGCTATTGCACATGTAATGGACTACAATATATAGTTGTTCCTTGAACAGCTCGAGGGTTAAGGGAGCAGACTCCCAAGCAGTTGAAAATATGCATATAACTGTTGATTCTCCCCAAAACTTCACTAATAGCCTGCGGTTGACCAGAAGCCTTACCAATAACATAAACAGTTGATTAACACATATTTTGTATGTTATATATATCATATACTGTATTCTTAACAAAAAAGTAAGCTGGAGAAAAAATGTTATTAAAAAATCATAAGAGAAAAACTTTACTGTATTTGTTGAAAAATATCCGCATATAAGAAGAGCCTTGCAGTTCAATTCTGTATTCTATGGTCCACTTTAGTGTAAACATAACTGGGAAACTCAAAAATTCATTTGACTCGTTTTAATATGATATTTGCTTTATTGTGGTAGTCTGAAACCAAACTTACATTATCTCTGAGGTATGCCTATAATAATGATCCTAGTACTAGATGTGTGTCGTGTGTGGACTGAGGAGAGGTTCTTCGGTTTTTGGGTTTTGTTTTTGTTTTTTAGAGAGAGGGTGACCAGAGGAGAGGGCAGGAGGGGGAGGAGAGAGAGAATCGTAACTAGGCACCATGTTCAGTGCAGAGCCCAATGCAGGGCTCAATCTCGTAACATTGAGATCATGACTTGAGCCGAAACCAAGAATTTGACACTTAACTGGCTGAGCCACCCAGGCGCCCCTTTTATTTTTTTTTCTGGGGATAGATTCTAGGTTAGACTTAGCATAAATGAGGAGGAAACAAATAGGAGCAGATAATGAGCGCAAGAAATCAAAGGAGTTGGGTTCAAGGCTAGCAAAAGAGGAAGTAGGAGACATCAGGTGCCTAATAGAAAAGGGCTAAAATGGGAAGAGAGTGGGTATGTGTGTGTGAAATAGTGTAGAATATTGGGTGGCCTGCCTTTGGCAGTTTTAAAAGTAGAAGAAAACTATCTTTTATATGCTACCTCCCCAATCATAATATGCTCTTTTTAGGCAGCCATTCTATTGCCTTATCCTTTGATACCCTTACTTTCTTAATTTATGGTTAAAAAGTATCTGATAATGAGTTTTAAGAAGGCATTATTTGACAGGCCATATTATTCTTGCCAGAAACATACATTTGAAATAGGAACTCTTGATTAAAAATAGTTCCAGGATTGAAAAGAGTAACATTCCTTGCTGCTTGAAGGGAGGAGAAAATACTGCAGTATTTAAATTTTAAAATTTTCGGTTAAAACAAACTCAATATAAATAAAATCCAATACAGAACTAAAACATGGAAGTTTCTTTCTCCTTTTCTTAATCACATCTCTTTTCCTAGAAATAATATTATGATTCTTTAACATAAATACACAAAAGTACATAAATTATATACAGACAAATAATACTTTAAACAAAAATGAGTTTTTAAAATATATGGTTCTGCATTTTGCTTTTTTATTCCATTGCTCTTAGAAAGAATTATATAATGACATACACAGACTTTTGGGAAAGATGCTTTGACATGGGTGGAGGACTTTTATACTTTGTATCTAACCTTACTGCTCAATTTATCATTTATTAACGCAAAGCATTGTTCTGTTTACATGCTGGCCAAGCATGCCATAAGCCAATTTAATAATTGTTACCCATATTTTAAGAATTGTTAAGTGTCCTTGTTTACTATATATAAATGATCTGGTTTATTGTAATGCACATACATGATCTGGCAAATGATTTGAACATATGCATATAGGAAGATAACATTTTTATTATTGCTTTCTAAACTTCATCTATAAAATACTTAAGGATTGGGTAATAGACACTAGACTGAGTATCAGAAGACCTTGGTTCTGTTCACTTTCCTCTCATTAAACCATTGTGTAACTGGAAAAAAACTTTTTCCAGAATTAAAAATGTTTTTGGTGTTTATAATTCTGTGAATCCACTCACTAAGAATATATAATATTAGGGATTAGAAGTTAGGTACTTAAGTGTCAACTAAAGGGTAGTCTGCTTTCTTAGGCTAACCTAAATTAGATATTTGCAGCACGTATATAGCTTCATCACCAGGGGGAGTCCTCCTCAAAATCTTCTTTCTTCCTGTCTTTTACATAAGTTTGGTTAAGTCTCTTAACTGGGCCTTAATTTTCTTATTTGTAAAACAAAATGGTTGGGCTGAAGATGGTTGAGTTTTTGTATATGAATGACTTAAAGGTTTTAAAATATTTTAGTTTTTGAAGAGGACACCTTTATAAATCTATGAGTGTTTTAAAGCAAGATGTGCAGATAAGGAAGTTTTTAGAGTTGTTTCAAAATTAAGGTTTAAATTTCTGTATCAATTCTATTTTTTTCCCCTAAAGCTCCTAAAAGACGACGGCCTGCACGTTCAATATTTGATGGTTTCCGAGATTTTCAAACTGAAACTAGTAGGTATCTTGGGCCAGTTTATTATCTCTCTCTTCCTCCTTCTTCTCTCTTCTGTCCTCTCCCCTCACTCTCCCACATAGAAAACCACAAATTGGAAAAGCACCCATACACTCTGCTACAAGTCAAGATCCTGGTTTGGTTTGTTTTATA